TGAAGCAAAAATCAACTCAGACACATCGGAAACAAAAAGAAACAACTACCCCCACAAACACACACACACACACACACACACACACACACACGCACACACACAACAAAAAAAAAAACACACGCAGAGGGGGGGGGGGGGGCGCGACGCTCAGGCCGCCGTCGGGAAAAAGAGGAGAGTAGTACCCATACAGAGTAATTGTAAAGAGGGAGGAGAGGGAGGAGAGGGAGGGGAGGGATGGGAAAGGGAGAGAGGGGGATGAGGGGATAAGTAAGTAGTAAAGGTCTGCCCTGAAGGCGAGGTCAAGCCTCAGAAGAGCTCGAAAGGCGCGCCTAAGGGCAGCGCGGACACCGTAGGTGCACCAGACCATCCTTGTCGCCCTTGCCCTTCTTGCAGCCCCGAGCCGCCGCCGCCCAAGCGGCCACCACCTCCCCGAACGGCTCCACGTCCTCGCCGGGGATCTGCAAAACCGTCGCACGGCGGCCGCTCCCGACCAGGATGCACACGCGCCCGTCCTCCTCCTCCTCCTCCTCCTCCTCCTCCTCCTCCTCTTCCTCCTCCTCCTCCTGCTCCTCCTCGGCGTCGGGGGGCCGGACAACGATCCTTGGCGCCCATCTCGTAGACGAACGCAGGCGCCACCCCGCAGGCCCGAAAAGGCAGGGCGGCGCGGGATGCGCAGCGGGGGCAGTTCATCTGCTCACGTCGTCCATGGCGTAGTTGAGTGAGGCGGGCCCAAGGGCAGTCAGCACCAACGCCCCCGCTCCAGCAGGCAGGCTCGGGCCGACCTTGCCCATGCTCTTGTCGCCGTTTTGCGCTGCGTCGCTCTTCGCAGCGCGCCCCACCATCTCCTCAAATTCCTCGCACATAGTTCGGAATGAAGTCCCATATTTACGTATCATCGTCTGGTATTCGCTGAACAAGCTGCGCTCTGGCAACTCTGGCATAGGGCTCAAGATCGCCCCGCTCACGTGCTGGAGCATCCTTCACCGCATTCTCCACCATCTCCTCCAAGTCCTGCTCCATCGCTGACACCATTAGGCCGTCACCCGCGAGGGCGGCGCCGTCGCCGAAGAGCATCGGCGGGTGATGCCGCCTCGGCGGCGCAGAGGCGGCACGCCTCCTCGCGGCACTCCGCGCCGCCCGGTGGCCCCGCGGCGGCGCGCGCCGCGATGGGCGCCCAGCGCGCTGCCTCGAGCGGTGCCGCGCGGGCGCCCTTCGCACGCGGCATCAGTGCGGCGGCGGCAAGGCCGGTGCGCGCGAGCTCGAGCCAAATGCGCTGGGGGGAGGAGCGGGAGAGGGAGGGGAGGAGGGGCAGAGGAAGGGGGAGGAGGGGGAGGAGAGAAAGGGGGGGGCGAGCGCACGGATGGAGGGGAGGGGGGGGAGGGGGGGGAGCCCCGTCCTGATCGCCGCGTCGCCGATGCGCGCGCGGAGGCTCTCCAGCGTCTCCTTGGCGTCCCTGCATGCCTGCAGCGCGCGCGCGTACCTCTCGCAGTGGGCCGCGCTCTCCTCGCGAGGCTGCGCAGGCGCGGGGCGCTGCGTCAGCTCGGCGGGCGGCGCGTTGGCGGCGGCGGCGCGAGGAGGGCCCCGGCAGGCTCGCGTCGTGAACGGAGTCGCGGCGGGAGGTGCTGGGCAGTTTCCGGTCTCCGGTGGCCCCCGCCGGGCCCCGGGGCCGTCCGGAGACGTTTCGGCAGGGAAGAGCTGGCCCGGCAGGGGAAGGTCGGCACTTCTGGGGGCCGGGGGGGGGGAGGCGGCCTTCTGAGGAGGCGGGGAAGGTCTCTCAGAGGCGGAGGCCTCCCCAGAGGTGCCCGGAGAGAGGCTCCCGAAGAGCCCTCTTGTTTGGAGTCCCAGGAAACAACCCTTTTTGAGCGGGCCCGAGCCTTCTAAGAGGCCCCCCCCCGCCCTCCCACCCTGAGAACGGACGTGGCGAAAAAAAAAAAAAAAAAATCTTTCAGACTCGGGGTCGGGGCAAGACAATCAGGGCACCCCGCGAAGCGCGCCGCGCGGTTATCTTCGCGCCAGTGGCGCCGCCCCCCTGGAGAAGGCCAGCTCGGCGGCCACAGCCACGACACGCGAGGGGTGGCCATCTTCGCGCCCCCGCGGGTCGCGCAGGCGATGCAGCTTCTGATCCGCATCGAGCCAGCGTCTCGTCCTTGCGGGGCTCCCTCTCAGCCAGACCGCCAAGATTGGCAGGCCATGCATCCGAAGGAACGGCCGGCTGACAGGTTCTCGGAGCCCACAGGGCTGGCTCGTGGAGGGCCCTCGAAGAGGGGGGGGCAGGGGGAGGGGCGAGGGAGGAGGGGGAGGAGAGCAGGTGATGAAGAACGAGGGAAGAGGAGGAACGAGGGAGGAGGGGGAGGAACGAGGGAGGAGGAGGAGGAACGAGGGAGGAGGAGGAGGAACGAGGGAGGAGGAGGAGGAGGAGGAGGAGGAGGAGGAGGATCAGATCAGATCAGACCCCATATCGGGGCATAGATCCAGATGGTGACAGCATCAGAGAGCCCTAGGACCGACTTACCAGCCGCGATGTTCGGACCACCGTCCGCCCTGAGTTTCCAGGATATCAAAACCCTAAACACACTACAAAACTTACCCTTGGAAACCTAACAAGCGAGCCGCAGCTCCAGAAAGTGATTCGCCGAATCCAGAGTCCCGAAAACTTCGAATTACAGCACCTCTAGCACGCTTGGTAGGAGGGGGAAGAGGAGTCGGAGACGAGGGCTCAGGGGGAGACGGAGGACGAGGGGGGGGATACCACGGCCTGGCGCAGGCAGCAGTGGAGCGGGCCTCAAGACAGGTCGTAGCTGTCCTCGGGGCCGACGTCCGAGACACGCCAGTCGCGGTCGACACACTCGTAGCAGCTAAACTCGCACTCTGGGTCCTCGCACTTCGTGAAGTTCGAATTCGCAACGAAATCGGCGTCGGTGATGACTCATGATACTTCTCATCAACAGTATTTGGCACCCACATGTCATTCGACGCCGCCACTCTGTCAGTAATCCCAACATCACCGTCGTCACTGTGCACACTTAGATATCCATGTCCTCGCCCGCCATGAACGTCTGAAGGATCCTCTCCAGGTGGCCCATTGGAGCAACGCCCTCTCGGACCAGTGCCCCCAGCTGCTCGCAACAGGCGATCAGTGGCTTGACGTCTTCGATCCTCGGCATCATCACTTTGGCCGCCCCCTCTTTGAAGGCCGTTGCTATTTTCACAAAGGGATATTTGGCCACTACCTCTGGCAGTGACAACTTGTTGTTCATCTCCTTCCATTCGTTCAGGCGCTGCAGGTTCATCTGGCCCACAGCCGCACCGACCTTCTCGCATCCCTCCGCCACCCCTACTAGACACGCCACCGAGATGGACCCCAGCTTGCACACCTCCGCCTCTTTCCCCCTCGACTTGTCGAGTACGCATAGTTACATTCATCATCAATTTCATGAGCACTGGCACGATCTTTTTTATTTGATTTACGTCGTACTCTTCTAGCTCCGCAATCTCCTCCTTCGATACCGTCCGATTGGATTTCGTCTGCGTTCCCTTCTTCGCCCGTCCGCCTCCTCCTCCTCCTCCTTCGGCCTTGCGCCTCACGGCGGGGGCCGCCGTCGCGGCCGCTGGGGCCGCCGCGGGGAGCGCCGACCACATGCCAGACAAATTCAGGAAGAGGGATGGAAAGGTGATCACGTAGGTGAAACTGAAGCTCCGCAAAAGACCGAGAAGGCAGCAGGCATATTGGACATGACCTATCTTCAGGATCTTGAACTGGCGGGTTGAACTTCGACGAGTCTACCCTGCACCGACCAAACCGATACGCATTCACAAGATGTCTGACCGCAGTATCACGGCATCGGAACGTCGACGGGCAGGCAACACATTGATTGGTGAGAACCAGCTTGGAAATGGTGGACGGAATCCCATGTTGACCTCCTGTGGCCTGCCTCTGGCGGACTAGCAGGGCTCGTTGTGATACAAAACGTCGGCCACATTCAAGGCCATCATCATTAAGATAAGTACAACAATATTCACCTTCGGCAACCTCACCTGGTTCGGGGGAAACTTCAGTGGGCAACGACGGTCTCATCAACCATTCAGCTCGAAACTGCTGCATATCGATCTTCTGAAACGCGTCGTAGGCCTCGGAGTCCCCGCGAAAGATCCCCAAGTAGTCTATGACACTGGCCTCGTCTCTAAGTAACTCCAAGACGTCCCTCCCCTCCTCCGTACATTCCATATACATAAGAGATTGCACAAACTGTTTGGCCCAAGGGTTGTCTCTCGAGGTATCCTTGGGGCTCGTGCACGCACTGGGGTACCAGGAAAAAGACGACGGAACCGCTTCTTCAACCTCCAAGGCCCCAAAGACCGCCGTCAGCTGTTGAACATGGCATACCGGGCTACGAGCTATTTTTTGCCACCCGTTCAACCTCTGGACCCTCAACCCTAAGCCAATCGGACCTAGTCCCGCCTGGCGCCGTAACACGTGAGCAGGGGGAGTCCTGATAACCGTAGTCTTGGAACCGTCAGGGTTGACAACCTCGATCCTGGTAGCAACACCGCCTAGCAGTACACGTAGATATCGTAGACAAATAGATTCAACACGGGCAACTTGGGATGCCGAGAGGACCAGAGCCGTGAGCCCCGAGATCGCCGCGCCTATCACATTGCTTATGAACGCCATTTTTTCGAACGTCATGAGGAACAGACAGACCAGAAGCGCTTCGTGTGCGCCCAACCTCGAACAGCTGCAGCTCGCCTAGCTTCAACCTCTGACGCCCGCGATCCCGACGTCGAGAAGCGGGCGCGGAGAAAAGGAACAACAGGTAAAACTTGTCCAGGGAGATCATGAGCACCGTATGAAAAGGCCATCTTCGTGGCCCAATGCGCCCCAGGACCGCTGAAATGAGGGACCACCTGTTTCTTACCCGCGCTCTGGAAGACACCGTGCTCGCGCAGCGATCCATCCAGTAGACGATCTGAGTGCATGATGATAGCTCGCGCATCGGCCAGGTCCCGAACAATGTGTGTTTTGTTCAGGCCATCTGCAAAGACGCGCAGGCTCAGGTCGCACTTCTCGCCTGTAACAGCGCAAGTGCTCAGTAGACGATTCTGAAACGTCAGATGGTGGCCAATCTGCCACTCATTCACTGGCGGCGCGAACGCTTCCTGAAACACAGTGGCAGCATTGGCATCCCCCATGTAGTTCCCCTCCGTGTTGCGAAAAACTTTGTAGCCGCCATCGGCCGTGACCCGAAAACACGCCCTTCGATGCCTCTGCTTCAGGATGTGAGCGCCCGTAGCACCATACAGCCTATCCACGGCCTCGTCCAGAGGCTGGCGCTTCGCGGACCCGAACGCGTTCCGCATGTCGTGTTTAATATCGGCCGTCGACACCCTGCCCCGAGACACCCCCCAGGAAAGCGCCGCGGTGGTTCGAATCGCCCCCCTTCTCGAACGTCGTGGTAAGTAGCCGTAATCGCAGCGCGGTATCGACCTCGCCTTCCTCCTCGCCACCTTCACCCACATTTTGCCGAACGTGCAGAGACCGTGAAGCAATATTGTACTCTGCGTGCGCGTCTTATCGTTATCCTTCGACAACTGATAAGTGAAAGAAACGTTCCAATGTGCAACACGCCTAGCACGCTGACGAACTTTGGTCAGAATACACTTCACCCACTTACTGATCAGCGGTCCGACGCCCTCTGGGGACTCGACAACAAGTCCTGCAGATCGCACCTTCTCAGACTGGCGCGACGAGAGCAGCAACGACCAAATCCCATTCGGCACACTCCACGGCACTGCAGCACGCCTTCGGCGTGCTGTGCGAAAACCTTTGGCAATGCGTTCAAAGTCGCGTTCAGCCTGGGACATGTCATCGATCGAGGGAAACTCGTCATCGTCGAACCTCGAGGCGCTCAGGATGAAATCTACCTCGCTGATCTCGGTCGCACTCATTCCACCCTTACTCGACGGCATCGCAAGATCCTCCACCCACTCCTCCATGCTCGGTGTATAAGACGCAATATGTCCGTACTTCCTCCTCCTTGGTCTCACACCAGCCCCCGCCATAAGTCTACATATCCTCCCTTCGGTTGTGCCTCCATCAGTTCCTCCGAAAGTTGGGCCTCTCGGATCTCACGAAGTTGCCGACGGAACAACCTGCACTTCTTAGTTATTCGGGTTAATGCCATAGTCGACTCCAAAGAGCCTGTGCATCTTTCACGCTCCCTACCCCTCTCACGAAGAAGCCGAACACGCTCCCGAGACATCTGTAAGTACTCAGCTGGCATAGCCTTAGGGGTGGCCTCAAAGGTCTCAAATCCCTTCTCCTGGATGAGCTCCATCAGGGACTTCCAGGCATCCTCGAGGTTCTCAGATTGGACACGCTCCTCCAGAGACCCCACCTCCCTTTGCTCAAGTAGAGACTCGACGGCACGTTCACCACTCTTGCGAAACACTTGTGCATGATGCTCACTACGAAATGCCAGGCCCAAGCCCACGGAGTCCCAGCGTTTCCGAGGAGGTTCCGCGCGGTAACAGGGCCTTAGCTCCAGCTTGAAGACAAAGGGTATGCGGTCCCTGGGCCGACTGTCTGGAATGATCTGGAGCCGCTTCGCAGCCCTCATCGCTTGTGTAAATCTCTGGATCCTATGAACATGGTATTCAGGAAAAATACATGATCAATGTACGACGCGTGCTGCTCCCTGGTGACCTTCTGGGGACTCTGGAAGCTCGGGGTAGCCGACGTCATCCTGGCCTCATCAGGGACTGCACCATAATAGCTAGGACCACAGTGGAAGAACGCATTGGCGGCAGCGAGCGAGTACGTTTCCGCGAAGCCCCTCATCAGTCCTCCCGCCAGGTGCTCCTCTCCGCGGCCGTGTTCTCCCAGAGCAGACGAAACAATATTGGAGAGGCCGTGGGGTCCATGACGGCGTCCCAGACCATCTTGAGATCCATAGCAATGATCGGGGTCGTCCTGCTCGGTAGACATGACATTACATGATGTGCAAAGTCGTGAAGCTTGTTCACCGTAGTAGTGAGTTGGTTCTGCTCCCTGGGGCCACGGCTCCTCGGTGGAAAAATAGAGCGCCATGCACGTCACATCTCCATAGTAAGATTTGAGTCGAATAGCTCCACCCCGCCCACAAATATCTTTGGGTGCCACCCAAATCCCCACTACATCTCTCGCACGTACAGTATTTTTGTTAATGTAGAACGAGACCCCGCACGAACAGTTAGAATGCGCACTCTTGGGATCGTATCCCATATGCACAGCCTTGAAGTTGGGTAGATCCTCCACCACATACGAAGCAGAATATGCACGTCTTTGTGTTGCAACTAAAATCACAATATCCACTTTGGCAAATTCATACTGCAGCTCCAGTTCTCGATCTCTATCGGAAATAGACAAGGGGTTCCAACACACTATTCTCATCTGGAACTTCGAACCACTCACGATACCCAGGCACCAGCATGCAATCAACACAAGTGTGTACAGGAGGCAAGTACGGTAGCGGGGCGACGGCGGTCCCGCCTTGGAGTCGGTGCGGCAGGGGGCGCGCCTGCCGCCGTGCAGCCACGGCATCTGGAAAGCCTGGGCCGCGCGGCTAGGAGGAGGAGGAGGAGGAGGAGGAGGAGGAGGAGGAGGAGGAGGAGGAGGAGGAACGAGGGAGGAGGGGAGGAGGGGCAGGAGAGACGAGTGATGATGGGGAGCAGGAGGAGAAACGAGGGCGGCTTGGAGGGCTCTGGGACCCATGGAGGTCTTACGAGTCTACTCTCGTCCTGCGGCGTCATCTCAGGGGGCCCTTCTGCCACCCTCTCGGGGTTACGGAGGAGGGAGGAGGCAGGATGGGAAGGACCGAGAAAGGAGGGAGAGAGGAAGGAGGGTAGTCGTAAATAGGCAGTCGTGGGTCGACCTGGGTCGTCGTCGCCACCGCCGCAGCCGCCGCCGTCGTCGCCGCCGCCGCCGCCGCCGTCGTCGCCGCCGCCGCCGTCCTCACAGTCTTCGTCGGCGGCGGTGGCAAGCTGAGGGGCCGGAGGAGTCCGCGCCGCCGGGGTCGTCCACGGAGAGCTCGCCGGCGATGTCGCACAGCTGGCGCGAGGCCTCTCTTCGGGCAAGACAAGGCACGATTTGCAGAGGGCAGAGGAACCACCCTCATTTGAAGCGCCCCGGTAAGCAAAGGTTTCTCAGTAAACGCACCTAGGGAAGTGATCGACCAGGACAAGACAGTTCAGTCAACGCCCCAGCCTGTTCAGCAAGCGCTCATCATGGAGGTCGGGGTGGACTTCCTCCTTGATGTTGGGCGTTTTGGTCAAGCACAGAGTGCAGAGGAAAGGAAGGAAAGACGGAGAAGGCAATCAAGTGCCGACCCGTGGTGCCTTCGGCCGAGGCTGCAATGCACCCCCGTCTCCTCACCCCTCCAAGCGGATGGCGGGGAGCAGAAATTGCAAGCGGGAGGAACCAGGGGAAGGGAAGGGCGGGGGGTACCGGGAACAGGCAGGGGGGAGAAGAGAGGCAGAGGGGGGAGGGGGGCGGAGCGGAGGGAGGAAACGAGGGGAGAGAAGGGGGAGGGAGGGAGCGATGGGGAGGGGAGGGAAGGCACAGAGAGGGAGGGAGGGCATGGGACAAAGGGGGGGCGGGAGGGGCGGGAGGGACAGGCGCAGGCGGAGGAGGGAGGGAAGGGGGGGGGGGAGGGCCTCTGTGCCCTCGAGGCTTGCGCCTCCTCGCTGCGCGAAGCGTGGCTGTGCTGGAGCAACGCGGCCCTCTGAGGGCCCTGGGCCGCGGGGGGGCGACGCGGCAATCTGTCCCACGCCCCCCGCGGAGGACTTGGGGGAGGCACTTCCTCCTCCTCCTCCTCCTCCTCCTCATCATCATCATCACCATCATCATAACCATCACCATCACCAACACCATCCTCCTCATCATCATCAGCAGCATCATCAGCAGCGTCAGCATCATCATCATCATCATCATCAGCAGCAGCATCATCACCATCACCATCAACATCACCATCAGCATCATCATCAGCAGCAGCAGCAGAAGCAGCACCACCGCCATCATCGTCAGCAGCATCTCCATCATCACCAGCAGCATAATCAGAGTCATCAGCATCAATAGCATCATCATGAGCATCCTTATCATCATCATCATCGTCGTCATCATCAGCTTCATCATCAGCATCATCATCGTGACCAGCATCATCATTATCATCAGCATCAGCATCAGCATCATCAGCATCATCGTCAGTATTCCTCTCCTCCTCCAATTCCTCTTCCTCCTCCCCCTCCTCCTCTTCCTCCTCCTTCTCCTCCGCCTCCACCTCCTTCTCCTCCTCTCTTCCTGCCTTCATCTCTTTTTCCTATAAACAGCTCATGCCTGTCGCACCCCCAGACGTGTCGGCAGGGCGGGCCGACCGTTTCGCCTGAGACTTCCTCGCCACGTGTGAGCAACAATGCCATGGATGGAGAGCGGGGGGGGTCAAAATGTTGCTCTCGCCTCAGCGCCGCACACATGCGTCTGAAAAGCTTACATCAGCTGATGGAGGGCGGGTCGTCGTCGAAACATGGCTCTCGCCTAAGCGCAGCGCACATTCGCTGTAAGAGCGCGCGTCAACTTCACTGATAGAGGGCGGGTGGTTTTCAAAATGTGGCTATCGCCTTAGCGCCGCGCACATTCGTTTCAAAAGTTTGCAACAGCTTCACAAATCGAAGGCGAACGGTTTCCAAAATGTGCATCTCGCCTGAGCGCCGCGCCCATTCGCCTTAAAGGGTCGCAACAGGTTCACGGATGGGGGGCGGCTCTTCTCAACATGTCGCCCTCGCCATAACGCCGCGCACCTTCGTCTGAAAAGCTTACAGCAAGTTCAAAGATTCGGATGGCCGAAGCCCCTGGAATGTTCTGGCGCGGTGTACGATTGTCAGGACGCAACAGTCACACTAATCACTGCTTAGCGGTGTAAGAATCCAAAAGGGTGTGCTCTGGCACGATGTAGAACTGTCCGGACTTACCGTCACGCGTTCTGGCACGATTGAGGACTCTCAGAAGACTGTTTTCTAATGGGCCACATCCCGCAATGAAAACAAATGCTTGCAGAGTCCTATGAAGAGAGACTTGGAAGAGGTTGATTTCAACGGCGTTGATGCGTCTTGGCTTTGCACTGGTCCTCCTCCGTATTCTCCTCTCCCTCTCCTCCTCCCCCTCTCCTCCATTCCCTACTCCTCTTCCTCCTACTCCGCTATCTCTTCCTCGTGCTCTTCATCTTCCTCCGACACCACCTCTTCCTCCTATTCCTCCTTTTCCTCCTCCTCTTCCGCCTCCTCCTCGTCCTCTTCCTCATGCTCCTCCTCCTCCTCCTCCTCCTCCTCCTCCTCCTCCTCCTCCTCCTCCTCCCCCGCATCATTATTGCTCTCCTCCTTCTTCTTCTCCTCCTCGTCCTCCTCGTCCACAGCACCTCCCTTCCTCCCTCCTCCCAACACCCCCTCCTCCTCTTCCTCCTCCTCCTCCTCCTGCTCCTCCGCACAATCATCACACTATCATCATCATCATCATCATCATCATCATCATCATCATCATCATCATCATCATCATCAGCAGCAGCAGCAGCATCATCATCATCATCAGCAGCAGCATCAGCATCAGCATCAGCATCAGCATCAGCATCATCATCATCATCATCATCATCATCATCATCATCATCATCATCATCATCGTCAGCATCATCATCATCATCATCATCAGATTATTCATCATCATCATCATCATCATCATCATCATCATCATCATCATCATCATCATCATAATCATCACAATCATCATCAGCATCATCACAGTCAAATCATCAGTAGCAGCAACATCATCACAGCATCATCATCATCATCATCATCATCATCATCATCGTCGTCATCATCATCATCATCATCAGCAGCATCATCATCATCATCATCATCATATGCATCATCATCATCATCATCATCATCACCATCATTATCAGCATCAGCATCAACATCAGCGTCAGCATCATCATCATCAGCATCATCATCAGCATCAACATCAGCATCAGCATCATCATCATAAGTATCACCATCATCATCATCATCACCATCACCATCATCATCATCATCATCATCAACATCATCCTCAACAACATCAGCATCAGCATCAGCATCAGCATCAGCATCAACATCAGCAGCATAATCAGCATCATGATCAGCATCAGTAGCATCAGCATCAACATAAGTAGCATCATCATCCGCAGCAGCAGCCTCATCATCACCCTCAATATCACCACCACCATCATAATCAGAATCAGCAGCATCATCACCATCAGCATCAGCATCATCACAGTCAAATCATCATCAGCAGCAGCAGCATCATCTCGCCAGCATGATCATCAGAAGGACCATCACCATCATCCTCATCATCGTCCCCGTCGTCAGCAGCCGAAGCATCAGCAACACCATCATCAGCTTCATCATACTTAGCATCATCATCAGAATCAGCATCATCATCAGCATCATCATCGTCAGCATCATCGTCAGCAGTATCATCAGCATCATCATCAGCAGCAACAACGTCATCAGCATCAGCATCCGCACCATCAGCAGCATCATCATCATTATCATCATTGTCGTTATCATCATCAGCATCATCGGCAGCACCAGCATCATCAACAACGACCTCGACAGCATCGTCATTATCATCCTCATCAGCCTGGTCATCATCATCGGCATAATCATCATCGTCCGCAGCGGCATCATCATTATTACCAGCCTGATCATCATCGTCATGATCAGCATCATCGTCATCACCGTCATCCTCATCATCATCATCATCATCCTCTTCCTCCGCGCCCTCGACCTCATCATCCTCATCCTCCTCCTCATCGTCCTGCTCCTCTTCCTCCTCCTCCTCGGGTTCTTCCTCTGCCGCGTCCTCTTACTTCTCCTCCTCATCCTCATCCTGCTCGTCCTCGTCCTCCTCCTCCTCCTCCGCTTCCTGCTCTTCCTCGTCTTCCTCCTACTCTATTCCTTTTCCGTATACATATCTTCTCCCTGTCGCACCCCGAGGCCAGTGTTTAGGGCGGGCTGGGCGTTTCGCCTGAGACCCCCATCGCCATCGATGGCTCTGAAGCTTAAAAATGGCAACGGTTTCACGGATTGAGGGCGGGTAGTTTTCAAAATGTGGCTCTCGCCTTTGCGCCGCGCACATTCTTTCTTAACATTCGCAAGAGCTTCACGGCGGCTTGAGGGCGGGTCGTTTTCAAAATGCGGCTATCGCCTTAGCGCCGCGCACATTGAATTTCAAATTTGCAAGAGCTTCACGGAGTGAGGGCGGGTCGTTTCCAAGATGTGGCTCTCGCCTCAGCGCCGCGCACATTCGATTTGAAAAGTTTGCAAGTGCTTCACGTATTGAGGGCGGTTCCTTTTCAAAATGTGGCTCTCGCCGTAGCGCCGCGCACATTCGTTTTTGTAAGCTTTGCAAGGGCTTCACGGGCCCCCATGGTCAACGTACCAGAAATTGTGATTTGGTGGTATTCAGGATTCTGCGGGTGCAACAGTTATGTTCACTCGCGGAGTTGAAGTCCCAAACATGGCGTTCTGGTACGATTCCAAATCGTCATGACGCAGAAGTCGGGTTGACCCATGGCGTGGAAATCCCGAGAACAATGTGTTGGCATGCTTCAAGGTCTTCAAACGGTTGTCTTCCAAGGAGGCAGTTCCCCCAATGGAAATGAACCGTTGTAGGGGCATATTGAGAGGGAGCGTGGAGGGAAGATGAATTCCACCATCGCTGCTAATTCTTGGGTTTACACTGGTCCTCCTGCTCCTCCTCATCCTCATCCTCATCCTCCTCACCCTCATCCTCCTCCTTCTCCTCCAACTCCTCCTCGTCATCATCATCACCATCAGCATCAGCATCAGCATCAGCATCATCGTCATCATATTCATCATCATCATCAGCATCAGCATCATCATCATCACCATCATCATCATCATCATCATCAGCATCAGCATCGTCATCATCAGCATCGTCATCAGCAATAGCAGCAGCATCGCCAGTATCAGAAGCATGCACATCATCAGCATCAGCAGCATCATCATAAACATCAGTAGTAGCATCATCATCACCATCAACATCATCATCGGCATCATCATCAGCATCAGTATCACCATCACCGTCAGCCTCGTCATCGTCATCACCATCACCTGCATCAGCATCGTCAACGTCATCATCAGCCGCATCAGCATCATCATCCTCAGCAGCGTCACCAGCATCATCATCAGCATCAGCAGCAGCATCATCATCAGCTGCATCACCATGATCATCATGATCATGATCAACATGATCATGATCATCATCAGCATCAACATCATCATCGTCAGCATCATCATCATCAGCAACAGCATCGTCATCATCAGCATCATCATCAGCATAACCAACATCGTCATCAGCATCATTATCATCATCGTCATCAGCATCAGCATCATCATCGGCATCATCATCATCATCATCGTCAGCATCGTCATTATCCGTAGCATCATCATAATCAGCAGCAGCATCATCATCAGCATCATCAGCAGCATCAGCACCAGAATGAGCCATCATCACGATCAGCATCAGCATTACCATCATCACCAGCAGCAGCATCATCATTATCAGCAGCATCAGCATCAGCATCATCAGCATCATCAGCATCATCAGCATCATCAGAAGCATCAGCATCATCATCATCATCAGCATCAGCGTCAACATCATCATCAGCATCAGTATCACCGTCACCATCAGCCTCATCATCGTCATCATCATTACCTGCATCAAAATCGTCATAATCATTGCATCAGCATCAGCATCGTCGTCGTCATCATCGTCATGATCATCATCGTCATCACCATCACCATCACCACCAGCATCATCATCGCCAACATCATCATCATCACCACCATCACCATCATCATCATCATCATCATCATCATGATCATCATCATCATGATCATCATCATCATCATCACTATCAGCATCACCATCACCATCATCATCATCATCATCATCATCATCATCATCATCATCATCATCCAGCTCCACCTCCCCTGCCTTCTCCCCCGAGGCCTCCCTCAGCTGCTGGGACGCGTGGAAGTACGGCCTCACCTCGTCGAAGGAGCGCCCGTATTCCAGCCTGAGGGCACGGTACAACTTCTCGAAGTGCTCGACGCGCCTGACCACGTCGTCAACATCGTCGTCGTAGTCATCGTAGTCGACATCGTTGTCGTCAGCGGCGTCATAATCACCATCGTCGTCGGCGGTCGGCATCGCTGTCGGCGGCGCCATCGTCGCAACTTATCATCGTCGTCGTCGTCGGCGGCGGCGGCGGTAAAGTTCGTCGCCCTGGTGACGAGGAGGGCGAGGACCAGCACGAGGAGGCCACGTCGTCAACGACGTCGTGATTGGCGTCGGCGGCGGCGGCGAGATTCATCGCCCACGGCGCCGCCTTGGGCGACGAGCTTGGACGCCGCCGGAGGACGACGGCGGGAGGGGGTGCGCACCCGGGGGTGCGCACCAGGCTTCGGTCGGGCATGTCCTCCTGCAGGCGGAGTTTGGTGAAAAAAAGAAGTAGCCCAAATATACTCACAAAGAATCAAAAATATTCGAAAAAACGTCCCAGACTATATTTCCACTATTTTCGAATATTCCTCCCGTAGAGGGACATACCCGACTTCACACCAGGGGGGTGCGCACCCGCCCAGGGGGTGCGGACCCGGGGGCGCGCGCCAGGGGGGTGCGCATCGGAGGGGTGCACCGGGGGAGGGGGTGCGCACAGGGGGGGGGCGCACAGGGGGGGAAGAGAGCACCAGGGGGTGCGCACCGAGGGGGGAGCCCGAAGGCGCGCCTCGGGGTGTGCCCTGGGGGCTACGCACCAGCGGGTGCGTACGGGGGGGCGCACGGGGAGGTGCGCAGCGGGAGGTGTAGACGGGGGGGTCCCTGGGGAGTCCAGACTGGAGAGTCCAGTCTGGGAGGGTTAGGCCGGGGGGGTCTACGACCTGCGGGTGTCTGCATCTCTGCTGTGTTGGCTCCTCCTCCTCCTGCTCCTGCTCCTTCCCTCTACGACGACGACGACGACAGCGACGACGACGACGACGACGGGAGCGGCGACAGATCTGGCGAGGCACGTCAAGCTCGCGGCCGCCTGCAGCGCGCACTGGGCCATTTCGTTCTGGCCGAGCTCGCCACATCCGAACGCCACATCCAAACTGGACCGAGCCAGAATGAACAAAAATGCCGAACCAGACCGAACCAGACAGGGATGTTCACATCAACGAGCCGAACCGAACGGATGACACCGTACCGAACCGAACTGGAGGCACTTCGGAACCCAACTTGACCGAACGGAACCAGAACCTTCCTATTTGGGCAAGGGGAAGAAGGGCAAAGAAGAGAGAAGAAGGCAAAAAGCAGAGGGGGAGAGAACGGGTCGAGGAGCGGGGGAGAACGAGGGGTTTGAGCGGGGAGGGGAGGAGAAGGAATGAGAAGAGGAAGCAAGAGAGGGAACGAGAGAAGGGGGAACTGTGTAGGAACGGGGACTGGGCCCCTGGCGACAGGAGAGTGGGGAGGGGGGGTGCGCGAGGCGGCAAGGCGACGGCGGGGCGGCGCGGGGCCTCTTGTAGTCGGCCTGAGCACTTTCCAGCCTGGCCTCGCACGAATTGATCGAGGTACTCGCCAGGTTCATGGCCTCGACCCGCCAGCCCCCCGTTCTGTGGCAACTCATGGCAGACTCCCATGTCATCTCGCTGGCTCTTGCGACATCGACGATAGCCGACGCGAATCGACGCTAATTGACGCTGATCCCCGCTAGATCTAAGCTAATCGATTCTAAATCGGCGACCTCTCATCGACCACCAGACGCTGGAGCGCGCGCACGCGCGTCCCTCCACGTGCGGGTGCGGGCGTGCGCGGGCGCGCTAGGCCGACAAACGGCGTCAACAGCGTGGCATACCTGCGCTCCGCGCTTGCGCCGCGCTCACGCCAGCGCGCGCCCCAAAGGGCCTGGCGGAGGCATGTTCCTCTCATTGGCCAGCCGTGTCGGCAAGCTCCAGCATAGGTGAACCCGCACGCGCGCGCGTGCGTGCGTGGATCAAGAGGCCACGGTCGCACATCTGCACACCCGCACGTGTGCACACTGAGGCAGTCGCATGCGCGCGCAAGAGTGCTGCCCACCCCCGCGGCATGAAGGCCTCCAGCAGCCCTGACACCTGGTCGGCCAGGCACCCGTCCATCCGCGGCATGGGCCGCTCCATTGAGAGCGAGGCCTTGCCGACCTCGGGCAGACAGAGCCAACAACTCGCACAAGCAAGCCGCCACGGATGGCCGAGGCAATCCCACCAGCCCTCTGGGCGTAGGTCTAGGGGGGTCCTTCTCCAACCGCCTTCTCCCCCTTCAGGGAGGAGCCTTTATCACTGGTCCTTATTCGTAAACATCCCCTCCCCGACTTGGTCTGCCGCCATACAATACGATGCGGTACGATACGACCACCGCTGCGGACATCGTCTGCGCGTGGCTAAGACCAGGTGGGCAAGGCCTTGGCCTCAGGCCTTGGCCTGCCGCCAACCAGGAACAACAGCCCCCCCACGCATCCCTGTCAAATCATTCGGCGCGCAGATCCCCGTATACGTATCAATATTCTAGCGCGTTCCTTTCCGAGGGTCTCCGTGATCCTGCGTACCAGCGCCTGGAGGCGAGCGGACCAGGGTGGAGGAACCCAAGTAGGCACGGCTGAATGTAAGCACGTCTTTGTACGAGTGGGCCTCAATGTGAGCAGTACGTTTGGACATTCGTGGGATGATCCTGCCATTTGAGCGTCGGCGAGGCCCTCGCCAGGTGAGAATGGGCCCATGTCATACACCCCAGCGTCTGCCCACTAGGTGGCCCACCTGCAATGACTGCTATCTGCATCGCGGCGACCATGGGGCTCCGAGAACAGACCCGTCTCCTGTGCCAAGACGAGCGTTTCGCCTGAGACATCCCCATTGGGCGAGAACGGGCCCGTTGAACACACCTGGTCGACACCCCCATTGGGTGGCCCAAGCTCCATGCCTGTCGTTGACATCGCGGCGACCTGGGGCTCCCAGAAGACACACGCCTACTCCTAATCACTGGGGTTTCTTCACTGGGGTTTCGCCTGAGACATCCGAATCCACAAGGGATCCCAGATACATTGCCCATGGGAGGATCCGAAGAGCAGCAAATATGCACCTCCACCGGCATCTCCCTTGACAGCAGACTAGGCGACTAGGCTAGGGGCGCCAGCGGACTCACGCTTCGACCAAGACCCACTTCTAACATCACTGCCTGGTTGCGCTGATGGATTATATGACCCGTCCCGTGCCGTTCAAAGTGCATGCAAAATGGTCGGCAGCTGGGGAACTGACAGGGCAACTCGACATCGGCTTCTGAGAACAAATCGCAGGCGCGATCCAACACCCAAATGATACGTTAACCCCTACTCAATGCTCACATGAACGCAGGCTACCACATATTGTACGCATGAGGATAATGACAAAGATGTAATCCTACGCGGCCTTGCATCGACGAACACCCAGCGACGGACAGCGCAGCGGCGCCCCCTAATACGGCCACTGTGCCAGGAAGGTGTCCGCACAAATGCACAACCGACCGTGGGTCCTCGCTCTTCCGAGCTCCTAACTTCATCCTCTCTCCCACCCTCCCTCTCTCCATTCACATCCCTCGTTCCTCCCACCTCCCACGCTCTCTCGCTCCCCTCCCTCCCCTTCCCGCTCCCTGCTCCTTCTCCGCCTGCGCGTCCTCCTCCGTGTCCTCCTTCTCCTCCCCTCCTCCTCCGCCGCGGCGTCCCGTTTTCGCCTTAACAGTGTCACTGGATTCTGGGGCGGCCAACATGGCCAATGCGCAAAGAGTTGGCAAAGCCGAGACAATGAAGCGAAACAGTACCCCAGTCAAAGAGGTGCAGCTGACACTTGGCGCTGGAGCGCCCTGTCTCCAGAGCGCATGGGGTTACGGGTGAAGGCAGGTGGAGGAAGACGAGGAGGGGAGGAGGTGGTGGAAAGGGGGGAAGCAAGAGATATAGATCCAATCTCCTTCTCCGTCCAATTACCTCTCCTTCTCCCTCCCTCTCTCGATTATCTCTCTCGCTCTCCTTCTCGTTTTCTCTCTCTCTCACTCTCTCTCTCTCTCTCTATCCCTCTCTCTCTCGCCCTATGTGTATATGTATGTGTATATGCTAATGTAACATGCATATGCGTATGTGAATGTACATGTACGTGTAAATGCGAATGTAAGCTGTGTTTGTATATGTACATGTAGCTGTACGTGTATGTGCATATGGATATGTATGTGTATATGTATATGTATACGTATATGTATATGTATATGTATATGTATATGTGTATGGATATGTATACGTATACGTATGTGTGTATGGAAATGTATATGTATACATTGTTGTGTATGTACATGTATATGTATATGAATGCAGATATGCATAAGTATATGTATGTGTATATGGATGTGTATGTGTAAATGTAAGTGTAAATGTAAATGTTAATTTGCATTGATATGTATATGTATATGTATGTGTATATGCATTTGAGTACGAATATGTATGTGTAAATGCACATGTATATGTGTATACATGTATGTAGCTGTATACGCATATATACATGTATACCACATACATGCACGAATACGTATAAACATGCATACATACATGCATACATACACATACACCTATACCTATACCTACACCTACACCTACACCTACACATACACCTGCACATACACACATATACATACATGTTCATACACACACATATATATAGATACAGATAAACCGATGCATGGTTTTGTATATAGGTGCGCATGGTTCCCAATATATGTTTGCATTCCAAGATTCTTACTCTGTTTTAGAATAATATGGGCCCGCGGGCCGGTCTGGCGGTTCCGTGCTCGCCGTCGCCGCCCCGTCGACGCCTCGTCGCCACCCGTCGTCTGGGCCTGGGTGCGCGCTCGCCGTCACCGCCCCGGGCGGTTCCGAACTCACCGTCGCCGCCCCGTCGCCGCCTCGTCGTTGTACTGTTTTGCATTGCGCTACTTTGCCTTCCCCTGCATTGCTTGTCGTTGTATTGCTTTGAACTGCGTTGCTTTGCTTACAATCTAGATTATCCTCCCTAGAACAATATTAGGATCTAAGCCCCACCTGGATTTAACCGCCCCCCATAGCTTATTGCAATTTACGTATGGCTCTGCCCCATCGTCCATCCGAAACACGCACGAATGTGTATCGTCCCAGCCAGGCCAGTATCGATGCCCCCCTCATCCTCAGGAATAAAATGGCGCGCGACCTCGTTTATCAATAAACATATTTGTTCAACAATCCGTTGCAACTAACAGGACGAAAGGCTCACGCGCGTCGAGAACAACAAAAAACACATGGCTTGCAACACGGATGTTCAAAACAAGTTTGCGCTTGCGTTCTTGCAAGTCCGTTCAACGCGCACGTCGGAATCGTTCGAACGCCCTTGCACGCGTGCTGTCGCAAGAAGCCTTTGCAACAAATGAGACGAATTGCACACCCGCGCGTCGTCGCGCGAGCATGCCGAAATATTTCAACAACCCTGGGTTTCGTAAAGATTCCAAAATCGAGTGCCTTGTGCTCGCGCTGGGGGGGGGGCACGATCCATGTGAACTGGTACAATGCGTGCGGGCCACTCTCGCGCGTCGGCCGCGCGCGCATGTCGAACTCCTTCCAAAAGCTTCAGCACCAACGCGAAGAAGCCGTCATCGTCGTCGGCGTGACCAACATGAGCACCGTTACTGGCCTTGCCGTCGTTGCTGTCACCATCGCAACCAGCATCGCCACTATCATCGTGAAGGGTGGCAGTACCACGACGACGACGACGACCACAACCACCACCACCACGACAACAACGACCACGACGACGACGACGACGACGACGACCCCGACAACGACGACGACGACGACCACGACGACGGCGACGGCGACGACGACGACGACGACCATGACGGCGACCACGGCGACGGCGACGGCGGCGCGGCGGTCGACGAGCCCACCCGAACACATCGCCGCCCAACGTTGCCGACGACCCGAAAACCTCCCGAGGGGTGCGTTTTGACCAAACTTGCGCGGCGAATCCAACCGTGGCGACGGTAGCGGTATCACGACGACCACGACGACGACGACGAAGACAACGACGACAACGACGACGACAACGACAACGACGATAACGGACGACGACGACGACGACGACGACGACGACGACGCTCACGACCACGACGACCACAACGACGACGACGACGACGAAGACGACGGCGACGACGACGGCGGCGACGACGACGACGGCGACGACGACGACGACGACGACGACGACGACGACGACAATGACAACGACGGCAACGACGCGACCACGATGGCGACCACGGCCACGGCGACGGCGGCGCGGCGCCCGCGGCGGCGTCGCCCGACGAGCCCACCCGAGCCCATCGCCCCCGAACGTCGCCGACGATCCGAAGACGTCCCGCGGGGTGCGTTTTGACCAGAATTGCGCGGCGAATCCAACCGAGGCGACGACGACGACGACGAAAACGGCGACGACGACAACGACGACGACGACCACGACCACGGCCACGACCACGACCACGACGACGACCACCACGACGACGACGACGACAAGGACGACGACGACGACGACGGCGACGACGGCGACGACGACGACAACGACGACGACGACGACGACCACGATGGCGACCACGGCCACGGCGATGGCGGCGCGGCGCCCACGGCGGCGTCACCCGACGAGCCCACCCGAGCCCATCGCCCCCAACATTGCCGACGATCCGCAGACGTCCGGCGGGGTGCATTTGGACGAAAATTCCGCGGCGAACCCAACCGTGGCGACAAGGGGAGGGCAGCGGTATCACGACGACGACGACGACCACGACGACGACAGCGACCACGACCACGACGACGACAACCACGACAACGACGACGACGACGACAACGACAACGACGACGACGACGACGGCGGCGCCGACGCCGACGACGACGACGACGACCACGGCCACGGTGATGGCAGTGCGGCGCCCGCGGCGGCGTGGCCCGACGAGCCCACCCGAGCTCATCGCCCCCGAACGTTGCCGTCGATCCGAAACCCTCCCGAAAGCTGCGTTCTGACCAAAATTTCGCGGCGAATTCAACCGTGGCGACGAGGGAAGGGTACCCGTATCACGGCGACGACGACGACGACGACGACGACGACGACGACGACGACGACGACGACGACGACGACGACGACGACGACGACGACGGCGGCGGCGGCGGCGGCGGCGGCGGCGGCGGCGGCGGCGGCGACGACGACGACGACGACGACGACGACGACGGCGCCCGCGCGAGCGGCCTGCGGCTGGACGGCGCCCGGGCCCGGCGGCGCCTGCTCCGCCTGGTGGGCGGCTCTGGAAGTGGGGCTCCCCGACGGGTGGGGACCCGAGTTGGAGGCCTGGAAATTGGCAGCAACACCAGTTGGCGGCGCGCACAAGGGGGTGGAGGCAGGGGGGAGGGCTTCTTAAAAGGAGGCTGCTTCTTAGAAGGCGCTGGCCTTACATCTATGGATAAGGCCCGCGCCTTCTAAGAAGAAGGGGTGCTTCTAAGAAGCCTTCCCCCCTCCCCCTACCCCCTTCTGCGCGCGACTGAACCAGCACAGGAGGTTGCCTCCACATGTGAAAGATGGTCCTAGATTTCGGTGGTGGTAATAGTTCGGTCACCTTGGAAGCCAGAATATTACCACCATCACCGAGATCGGGATCTTCTTCCCTCCTTGGAGGAACACCGCCGATATTGGTGTTGGTGTCAACCTCTAGGCCTGCGAATTACAGCTTACCTGGCGATTTTGCCTCGTTTCGCAATTTCTCCGCAACGCCCGAGCTCAGGGCTCGCGGCCACTCGTCCTCTGGAACCCAAACTGAGCCCGCACTAAGCAACCACGTGAGCCTAACCCCTGCAGTGGCCAGATTTCCGAAAGACCGGCTGAAGTTCAGAATTCGGAGGGCGTCTGCGGCCACGTGAGCCCCAGCGAAGGGCGTCCGATACTCCAGCGTCGATTGAACCTACAGGAGTCGAGTAGAGGATCGACTACAAATCGACTTGCCCCAAAGATGATTCTGTCGTCGAACCTACGACAATCATGAATGATACTACGTATATGTACGGAACACTCTACATGTTCATCACAAATTCGACGAAAGAGTCAGTTTCACGGGTGAATCAATTCTGTAGTCGATCCCCTTCTCAAAGGAGCAGGGTTCGCCCCCGGCCGCAACTGAACCCTCAACCTCGTCCCAGGGCCCCATCCCCCAGGGCCCCGTCTTCGAACCGCCGAAGCCTTGCACATCGCGCGGCGGCGGCCCCCCGCGCGCGCGCGGCCGCGCCCGCGCGTCGCCGCGGGCCAGCGAGGGGTGGCTCTGGATCGGCGCGCCGATGAGTGCGCCGCCAGAATATATCCCCATCCGCTGCTGCGCTGTCGTGTCCCGGCGACACGGGGAGCGGTAGACGTGGACAGTTGGCCGCCAATGCGGCGAGGCGTAGATATCAGTATCCACCGCTCCTCGGGATCCCAGAGCACATCTCCGAAGCAGCACAATGGATATGGACACACATTCTGACGGTAGAGGCCTGGCCTTGGTTCCGCCGGGCCCTGTTCTCGAGGAGGGGGAGGGGCAAAAGGAAGCGCAGCAGCATAAATGTTCGAAACTTCGCGAGAAACTCCTGGAGTTTATGTCTTTGCCGTTCGCCTTCTCCGGCAGAGGCACCGTGCTACGATGAGGAACGCTGAGTAAAGAGCGAAGGGGTTTCTCTGGCCACCACGAGACTCGGTCGCCAAAAGCAGTTCACCCGCCCAGGCCCTAGGAGCGGCCCGCAGACAATAAGCGCCTGCTGAGCCCAGAACGGCCCCTGCTGCAACCCCTGACTGCAAGACAGAACGCCGGGAGGCGGACCCGGCCTCCAACCTCTGCAGCGGGGCCCATGCGGAGGGAAGGGGAGAGGTGGGTTTCCCAATCCCTGCCCCCCGCCCTCTTCCAATGTACACCGCAACCCGCGTGCGGACGGATTCGCGCGCCCCGTAAGCGTGTGTCAGACGTGGGAGAGGGCGCGACAAGAGGCTCGTGGCGGAGGGTGCACCCGCTAATGTTGGGTGGTGGCAGCGGTTATCGCCTTCTGCCCCTCCCCCTCCTCCTCCTCCTCCTCCTCCTCCTCCTCCTCCTCGTCTTTCTTTATATCCTTCTCCTCCTCCTCCTCCTCCTCCTCCTCCTCTCCTCCTCCTCATCTTCCTCCTCCTCCTCCTCCTCCTCCTCCTCCTCTCCTCTTCCTCCTTTTCATCCGCCTCCTCCTCCTCCTCTTCCTCGTCCAGCTCATCCTCCTCCTCCTCCCACGCTCCTCCTCCTCCTCCTCCTCCTCCTCCTCCTCCTCCTCCTCCTCCTCCGCCTCCGTCTCCGCCTCCGCCTCCTCCATGCCTCTTCCTTATAAATAACTCGTCCCTCTTGCACTCCCAGAAATGTCGGTAGGACAGGCCAGGCGCTTCGCCTGAGAATTCCTCACCGATTATTGTCGATTGTCTTTGAATTTGCACCGATGCTTCACAGATGTAGGACGTGGCGCTCTCAAAAATGGAGTTATCGCAACAGCGCCGCGCACATCCGTCTTGGAAGTTCGCACCAGCTTCTGGCTGGAGGGAGGTCGTTTTCAAATTATTTGTTTCGCCTCAGCGCCGCGCCAACTCGTTTTCAAAGCTTGCAATGGATTCGCGGATGGGGGGAGAGGGCGCTGTAAAAACGCGACGTTTGCCGCAGCGCCGCGCCCATGCGTCTGTCAAGTTCAACAGTTTCGCGGATGGATGGTGGCTCCTTTCCGGTGGAAGGCGGTTCGTTGCCAAAATGCGGTTTTCGCCCCAGCGCAGCGCGCATTCGTCATACAGTATCATACAAGCTTGCAACAGCTTCACGGATGTGGTAGCATTTTCAACATGTGGCTTCACCTTGGCACCGCACACATTCGTCTTAAACTGTTGAAGCAGTTTCTCGGGCGTGTTCAAACTGTGGTTTTCTCATAAGCACCACTCACACTCGGTTTACAGTTTGCAACAAATTGCAGGATTGAGTGGAGCGATTTCGAAATGCGGCTCTCGCACGAGCGCCGCGTGCATTCGTTTTCTCATTGTGGCCCGTAATCAAACTTTGGTGTTCGTTTCAGCGCCGCCGGGGGTTCGCTCTCAAAAATCGGCTCTCGCCCTAGCGCCGCGCATGCTTGTTTTCCTAATTCGCAACAGCGTCACGGATGTACTACGAGGTCGTTCTAAACAGGTGGCCCTCGCTCTAGCGCCGCGCACACTCGTCGTAGAAATGCGCAGGAGATCATTGTTTTATTCCGGCCGGTAACGCTCGTTACCCGGGGGGGGGGGGGGTCGTGCCCCCCGGGTAACGGTAACGCTTGGGCTGGGCGGGGTATGGCGAAGCAGGGGCGCTCTGCGATCGCCATAGTATGCGCGCGAGCAGCACTCTCTGCCTGAGAGCACCACAGTGGCTTGCGATTCGAGTACAAGCGCAAAGCCCGCCGCGTGGTCCCGGCACCACGCCCGCGCCCGCGCGCGCGACGACGATGATCGACGAGCGACGAGCGACGAGGTCGACGACGACGACGACGACGTTTGCCGCCTGTTTCGGCCTCCGGAGGCCGTTTTCGGGCGCCGTCGACGACGACGACGACGACGACGACGACGACGACGACGACGACGACGACGACGATTCGAGTACAAGCGCAAAGCCCGCAAGCACCAGCATCGCGCATGCGAGCGCCGCAATGGCCTGCGAGCGCCCACAGTGCGCCTGCGACCACCACACCACAGTGCGCATGCCTTCGGGCACCAGCATGTTGGAGGGGAAGACCGAGACCCCCCCCGCGTACGAGCGGTACCGTTACGGGGGGGGGGGGGGGAGAGGCCCGGGTAACGAGCGTTACCCACCAGAGGATAAAAAAAAAAAACAATATCCAGGCGCTCCACGGATGGAGGGTGGTTCCTTCTCAATGTGTGGTTCTCGCTTGAGCGCCGCGCATATTCGTTTTAAGAGATTGCCAGAATTCCAAGGATTGTCATGGCTAGCGCCCCAGACATGGCATTGCGGCACGATGTCGGAATGTCCGGGCGCAACCGTCACATTGATTCGCAGTGCTGAAGTCCCTGGGATAATGTTATGGCACGACTCAAGACCGCCAAGACATCAGCAACAGCTCGCACAGCTGTTTGCAACAGCTGCAGTGCAGCTCCTGGTCAGAATGGAGCTCGCAAATCCCACCAGCCCTCTGGGCGTCGGTGGTTTAGGGCGTTTCCTCTTCCACCCCTCGCTCTTCCCCTTTGGGGAGGGGTTTATCACTGTTCCCTATTAATCAACACCCCCTCCCCCAGGCGACTGGGGGCCAACCAGGGTCCATGCCACACACACACACACACACACACACACACACCACCATCCCTTGTAAAAAACAATACAAACACACACTCTGCCTCCAAATTCGGAACATGCGCAGCCAACCCGATGCGCCCCCCCCATCACCACCACCATCCCTGTCAAAAAACCATACAGAGTACACTTGGCGGCGGCGGCGGCGGCTGCGGCGGCGGTGGCGGCGGCTGCGGCGGCTGCGGCGGCTGCGGCGGCGGCGGCGGCGGCGGGGGCGGGGGCGGCGGCGGCGGCGGCGGCGGCGGGCGGCGGCGCGGCGGCGGCGGCAGCGGCAGCGGCAGCGGCGGCAGCGGCGGCGGCAGCGGTTTGGCAGCGGGGGGCGGCGGCGGCAGCGGCGGCGGCGGCGGCGGCGGCGGCGGAGGCGGCGACGGCGGCGGCGGCGGATTGGCCCCCAGTAGCTGCCCATCCCAAGACGACTGCTGAATGTGCTGAGGTTCGGGCCAGACTTGGGTGCTACGTATGTGTTGGGAGGGCGGGGAGGGGGTAACTTGACCCCTCCCCCTACCCCCTCCCCGTGGACCTGGACGGGGGGGCGCGAGCGGTCAGACCGCCCAAAACGGCCTCGGCGAGGAAGCCATCATCATTGATTTTACTACGGTTTGGGCCCCATTTTGGCCTCCTAAGGGGGCAGCCCTAATTGAAGCTCCCCTCTTCTTTGATCGATGTCCTCCAAGATGGCCTCAAGAAGCGCCCAGTAGGCCCCAACAGGCCCCAAGATGGCCCCAAGAGGCCCCAAGAGGCCCCCAGGAGGCCCCCAAGAGGATCCCAGGCGGCCCAAGGAGGCCCCCCCCGAGGCACCCAAGACGCCGAAAAGCCCCTCAGGGCGACCCTCTACTCGCCTGGGCGTCGTTTCTGGATGGGCTGGTGGGGATACTTGTTATTTTTTTACAGCCGCGGGCGGAAGCGCCGGCGGCGGCAGGTCACGGTCGGGCTGCGGCTGTAACAAATTAGCCGGGCGCGCGCGCGGGCCGCGGATCAGGCGGCGGTGCAAGCTGCAGCCCAGGGAGTCTGAGGGGAGACAGGCACCCAGGGAGCAGGAATTACGCTGCCCAAATGGCGCGATGCACACCCCCAGACAAGGGTCGTGTCCGGTCCGACGACCACAGGGTAGTGGGGATCTTGACTCCGTGCAAGAAGAGCGTCAGAGAGCCCAGGGCGTCTGCCGGGTATGAGCGAGACCGTAGGCGAGAGTTTTTTTTTGTGGGGGGGGGTCTCGTGCTGCCACTGCCGTCGTGCTCACCAGCTCTTCCCACCCCGCCACTGCCGCGACCACTGCACTCCCTTCCACTGCCCTCGAGGACAGCGGCCGCAGCGAACGCCTGCTCTTGTCGCACGCGCTGTTCAGGGTGCTGTAGGTGATGATATTGGGCTCCAGCTTCACGACCGCCATCTCGCTCAGCAGCGCCACTGCCTGCTGCAACTGCCAGCGCCTGCTCTTCTCGCACTGGCCCGCCCTCGAGGACAGCTGCCACTGCCATCGCCTGCTCTTCTCGCACGCGCTGCTCAGAGCGCCGTAGGTGATGATGCTGGGATGCAGCTCCGCGTGTGCCATCTCGCTCAGCAGCGCCGCAGTCTGCTTCCACTGCCAACGCCTGCTCTTCTCGCACGCGCTGTTCAGGGTGCTGTAGGTGATGATGTTGGGCTCCAGCTGCACAAGCACCATCTCGCTCAGCAACGCCATTGCCTGCTGCCATTGCCAGCGCCTGCTCTTCTCGCACGCGCTGCTCAGGGTGCCGTGGGTGATGATGTTGGGCTCCAGCTGCAAGACCATCATCTCGCTCAGCAGCGCCACCAACTGCTGCCGCTGGCAACGCTTGCTCTCCTCGCACGACCTGTTCAGCATGCCGTAGGTGATGTTGTTGGGCTCCAGCTTCACGAACAGGATCTCGCTCAGCAGCGCCACAACCTGCTGCCACTGCTGGCGCCTGCTCTTCTCGCACGCGCTGTTCACAGC